GTCAAAAGTAAAAAAAACACCTTTTTGACAATCCTTTCCAAAAAAATAATAATGTGTCTCCAAAGTAGATCCAATGTCAATCAAGATGAATGCCAACCCGCACAAAAAAAGAAAAGCCTGCTGAACTCGATGTGTCTTGTCTAGGGACAAACACCAAATAAGAGGTAAACATGACATCACTGGGTGGTGACCCTGACCCTATGTTTACCTTTTATTCGGCATGTGTCCCTGTGTTTGGCAGGCAGTTTTTTTTTCGTTTATGCGGGTTGGCATTCATTGTGATTGATGTTGGATCTACTTTGTGGGACAATTGTTTTTGGGGGGGGTTTTAATCAAGGATTTAGAATTGACACATTTAGGGAATCCCGCTGACAGCAGATGAGTCATGGTTGTTAAGGACATGGAGGCCGCTGGCTCCTTAACAACCAGCGCTATTCTAAATTAAACATTGTATAGAAAAGAGGGGATTTTAAGGTGCTCAACAGACTTCAAACACTTAATTTTGTACTAAAATCATACAAAGCTTTATTCCATAGTGTCATGTAAAAAACGACATAACATTAGTAGTCTTAAGAAGTATAAAAAAAAACATGATACTTCATGTGGCTTGAAGTTCACCATGCAACAATTCCAACGCAACATGTTTCATGGAGATGGACATGGAGATTTACAGATAGTTGCATGTAAACTGTCACTAAAAAAAAAACAAAATATAAACGATAAGCAATTTGGTTTACAAAAAATAATAACAGAGTCATCAATACATATGCATACAGGGTTAATGACAACACCTACTTAATATAGGTTTTTATAGGGTTAACTTGCCAAGGCTGTTCTTACCAGGTGTATCTTGATATATGGAAAACCCAGCAAACAAGCATCCACATCTATATCCCCAGAGGAGTCCAAGATGGAGCAAATGAGGGAAAAGGTTGCAACCCGCCAATGTGGACCTCCCTACTGACAAACATATCTACATCTCAATACAGCATAATAAAAAAAAGAGAAGGTATAATATAATCTACATATCAAAATAGGCAAAATGTCTACCACAAAGAACTAAAGAGCCCAAAAAACACTTGCTGGTGAACTTATTCGCTTTAAAACAATCCAACGTTTGATATCGGTAGCTGAATGCCTCAAGGGTTACAAGAGAGACCCCACCAAACAGTAATAAAGGCACCTTCAAGTTAACGAAGAAAGGGGAGGAAAAAAGAAATAAAAAATCAACTCAAGAAAATGAGCTTAATGAACACCAGAACGAAACAAAAAATGTCCATGCTTATACTTCCATATCATGTACTTGTGAGGTCACAGGAGAGCTGGATGTAGCAGCCATGCAGCCAGCCAAGGCTGGCTTATATATCCCTCCCACCTTGCCAGTGATTACCGGCCAGGTGCAGACTCCCGAAATAGGCCCGCACATGCACACAAGCTTGCCGGAAAGTGACGTCATGCACATGTGCAGGAACACCTCAGTGCCATCTTGGAACATCAATTGCTGCCCAAACAGCACAGAGTCCAAACAGGGTTCACCAAAGCGAACTAGGAGGCTAAAAAGTTGGAACCTTGTGGCAGACAGGACCCAATAGAGTGTGCTTCCCCGCAAAGGGACACAGAGGCACCCCCGCCCAGATAGCGCCCCTAGGCACCCGATGGTTATCCAAAGACTCTCCAAATATCCCTATTAGTAGATAGGAAAAAAATGAGAAAGAAGAAAAAGGAAAAATATTGGATGCACAAAACAATAAATAAAATTAGTCCATATTGTTAAGGACATTACATCTAGCTGTACTTATGTCCATTTGGTATCTACAGCGCTTTCACCTAGTGAACAAATCTAACAGCCCCCTCAAGTAAACCCACAAAAACCATTGTTAGCAATATATAACAATGAGCTGTATTTAAATCATAATAAAGAATTCAATTTCAAAATCAAAATGATTGATTTCCATTATCTAATTGAGACAGCATTTAAGGACCTAATCCGTAACACTTGAACCGTAACAGCACCAAGACCCTTTGTCTATAAAAAAAAAGCTTTGTATGATTTTAGTACAAATATTAAGTGTTTGATGTCTGTTGAGCACCTTTAAAAATCCCCTCTTTTCTATACAATGTTGGATATTCATAATATGGGATGTGGTGCTAGCTGATCTCCAACTCACCTGAAACAAATACAGAATTTATTCTAAATTAAATTAAACGAATGCCAAAGATATGACAAAATTCTGAAAACGAATAGGTCCATTAATGAATGCATCCAAAAATGAATTCTTTAATTAATGAATGTCCACCAGCTACCACTGATACTTTTTTGGATTTGGGGCAGACACACACTGGATGATGAATTTAATAAAGCATTACAACAGTTTTTTCCGTAGGCATTTCCCTTTAAATCTATCTGCACATAAATGAAAATCATTTTGCCCATTTTAAGTAACATTACTGACACCAGTGATACATTCAGGTAGTTCTTACTACTGCCACTTTAAGAACCTGTCGTTATGGCAGAGACATATTCCTAAAGAATTTACACTGGTTTGCTGATTAGAAAACTGGCAGTAATTAAGACCAGCTCTGAGATGGTGTTCAGAAGTATACCAGTGAACAAAGTAGGTCACATTTGCTGGGAGGCTCTCTGCACAGGGCTTCATCCACAGCCCCATTCAGCTATCAGGGTACTGTGATGTAATTACCCAAACATGGCAATGCTCTAGTTGAGGATATGACAAGCTCACAGGAAGGGAGACCTAATGGGGAACACATCCCCCAATGTCTTAGCACCTGTTGAGAGGAGCTTCATGGGGATCTCAGAGACCAATGCTTTTGATTGAAAGCAGATGGCAATGTGCAGATTTGAAAGTCACTATTAGACTGAATAGCTGCTTCGTATTTAGAATGGATCTGCCCACTGCTATGTGCTGTTGATCAAATACAAGGCAGACCTATTAGGAAGCTAGTGTCTCAATTCTGCATCAGCCTTCCCTCACCCTACTATAAAATCCTAGACTGTGCACCTTTCTTTGTGATTGGTGCAGTGGCCATAGAAATATATTTCTGATGTAGTCGCCAAGGTGGGAGCTCGCTGATGAAAGAATGTCCAGTATAGACATTCCAAACTCAGTGCCACCCTCTGACAGATTTGTGTACCAGTACCTGTCTCTGATAGGTACATGAATCTGGCACAAACAACATTTCAGTTTTGGTTTGGAGACAGAGATTTAAAGGCTATCTGCTTTGCACACCACCACCCTTTATAAAGAAAGAAACCATACCTTTAAGGCTTTAAGGAGAAAAGGTCTACGTGCAGGTAAGCCTGCTTTTAGTTTGTGTATTGTTTTATGGCTCATGCACACAGGCACAAAAAACATCCCTTTCAGAGGCATACAGCATTTTTTCACGCCTATTACATTACATTACCTATTACAGCTAATTTGTCCATGAGCATTGTAGCATTTAGATCCATATTCCAAAGTAGCGGTCAGGGGCTCATTGGGGCAATTTATGTGTGTATTCCCATAAATGCAAGTAAACACAAGTATATGTGGGTAAATTCATTATCGTTGCAAGAATAAATGATTATTCTAGCCACTAGAATGAATTTAATAATTTACATGCATAAATGCAAGTACTTTATGCACCATTACATTCTTGCTTCTGGCAGTGAGATCTAGCATTTTATATGAATATTTAAATTAGACCCACGTAGATGAGCCCTATATGTCCTATAGTTGTGAAGCTCAGTTTATAATTTGGGACCATGCTCATTGTATGAGATGTGCCTTGGCATGCCAAAATCACTTCCATGTGCACTTGCAAATGTATGAAACTAAAACACCAAAACCTCTGTTTTAAACCTAAAATGTAGAAACAAAGTAATAGGTTTGTTTGGGGTTTTGTCTGAAATCCCCTTCGTATATTATCCTGCCCTTAATGCCCCTTTACTTTTTGCTAGTTTCTAATAGATCAGAGAAGCTACCATTGTTGGTTTGTTTGTTTTTTGGATTGGGTGCAGACACACACTGTAAATGTGATGGCTCGTAAATGTGCTGTATGGACTTCTTGTGTGTTGCTATACCTTTATGCAAGAGGGTTCAACCTCCAGGTGAGCCTGCCCTTAGTTTGTATTGCTATATATGTTTTTGACCCAAGTAGTTGAAACAAATTAGTGGTTTTTTTGTATGCTGGCAACCTCTTTGTATGAACTTTTTTTTTTTGTATTTTCACTTTTGACCTTTGAACATTTGTGGCTAAAATTATCAACGGAAGTGTGAGGGAGCTTTACTAACATGCAGACATTGTCTTGTACCATCAACACATCAAGCTGCCTCCAATAGCATATTGAAGTTTCAAAGCCCAACTCCAGAAAAAAATAATATAAAGATATTTATTGCTTCCATGTTCCTTATTAGGGATATTTCCTCTTACAGAGACAGGAAGTTTGCCTATTTAGGTCACAAACAGAAATATAGCCTGTCAGAAACTTTAACACTTGAATCCAAACTTAAACACTAAATAACAATGTGTCATATATTTAGACATTCTTATAGAGAATCATAAAGTGGTTCTAAACCTCAGACATGAAATATGAACAAAGCATATCCCTCTATAGTGTGTCTTTTTCTCAATTAGGAGCACTAAGTGTCAGTTCTGCCTGCTGCCTCATTTCTCTGCAATCAGCATTGATTACTTCTGACATGTTTTCCCAGCACCAAGAGAAAAATGGTGACAGGGGAGGGACCTCCAGTAGACTGACCACCTCAGCTGTGTTCCTGTGAGCTGTGTGGAGGGGTGTCCCTTCCCTCCAATCAGCTCTCAGAGCTTTCTTCACTGATGTAATTCCAGCTCCCAGCCCCCTGCTATTCAGAGCTGAGAGGTCCTGTGTAAATTCTGCACTTTGAATAGTTGTAGGAGACAGATGGCTGTTGATAGACAGATACAACTTACCTTATTTTTCACTCCATAAGACGCACCTGACCATAAGACACACCTAGATTTTAGAGGAGGAAAACAGGAAGAAAAATATTCTGAACCAATGGACTGCGGACATAGTACAGGAGATGACCAGAGACTGCGAACACAGTACAGGAGATGACCAGAGACTGCGACATAGTACATAGATGACCAGAGACTGCGGAGTAACAGGATGACCAGAGACTGCAGACTAGTACAGGAGCAGAGACTGCAGACATAGTACAGGAGATGACCAGAGACCACGGACACAGTACAGGAGATGGCCAGAGACTGCGAACACAGTACAGGAGATGACCAGAGACTGCTCACATAGTACAGGAGATGACCAGAGACTGCGAACACAGTACACGAGATGACCAGAGACCACGGACACAGTACAGGAGATGACCAGAGACTGCGAGCACAGTACAGGAGATGACCAGAGACTGCGGACATACTACAGGAGATGACCAGAGACTGCGGACACAGTACAGGAGATGACCAGAGACTGCGACCACAGTACAGGAGATGACCAGAGACTGCGGACATACTACAGGAGATACATACTACACTATATGCCACTATCTCTGGGCTCTGGTTTCTGAGCTCTTTTATCTAGGATTTACTATCTCCGGATTGATTGCTTATTCATGCACTGGAGCTGGAGGGATCCCTGTATAGAGCCCAGCCACACTGGATATTTGGCCATATATCCCCTGCAGTGGAATGGTTACATCTTTCTGTCAAGGTCCTACCTTTCCTCAGGGCTTGTGCTGCTCCATGTGCTGGCATCCATCTTAGGTGTCTGCAAAGCATTGTGGGATCCTTTATGCTTTCAGCCCTCTGCAGCTCCTCCCCCAGAAGGTGGCAGCTTATCACATATAGGTCTGCTGTTTGTAGCTGTCCATTGCATTCGTGTCCTGTCTGTTGCACAGCAGCAAGCTCCTGTTTAGTTTCTCATTGCTCTCCTGGATACCAACTCAGCTTTGGCAAGACTCCTTCCTGGCCTCTGACCCCAGCTCTGGCGACCATCCTTCCTGGCTTCTGACCCGACTCTGGTGACCATCCTTCCTGGCTTCTGACCCCCCGGCTCTGGCGACCATCCTTCCCGGCTACTGTTCTACCAAGTCATCCGCTGTTGCTGTTGGACTTGCATAGACTCTGTCTTGTTTTTGTATAATAAACCTACCTTTAATTGCACCTCCTTGTGTGTCTGGCTCCTCGCTCCCTGACACTTTTGGAGGGATTTTTGTACAGAGCCTAGTTGCCTCTTACTTATGGTGAGTGCATAGTGGTGGGGGATTGTCACAGATGCACTCTTCACAGCTGTCACCTTATGTCACTGGTCATGATTGATCTCTACAACACCATTGGACACTTCCTAGATAAAGTTTACACAGGAATAATTTTGTGTTCTCTTCATATGCTTTGGACAAAAGCGCTGCATTTTCTGTATATATTTCTGTTTTGGTGGACTAGGAGGGGTTTACCACTTTGTGCTAGCTGCTTTTTCAGCTCATGCACCAGTTTATTTTTCTTTGCACTCACCACATATTTTTGACACTTTTTTGATAGACATAAACCACAGAGTTTGAGCTACAGGAAAACGTGTTAAGTATGGATATCTTTGAAATGAGGTCAAGAGACCTGCCATTTCTGCTGAGATTTTTACACATGATGAGAAAGTGGACAAGCTGCATGGTCTTTTTATTCATTTACAAAATTTCACCACCTCTGAAATTAGGACTGTATGGGACATTTCTTTTTTAGAGAAGCATACTAAAGAAACATTGTCCCAAGATCACTGCGTTGGGAAATTTCTCCTGAAACTGAGGATATCAATCATGACCTGGAGTGATATACATTTTTTAATAGCACAGGTTTTGACCTGCTGAAATTTTTAATTCTTAGGAAAAAGAAAAAATGTATGCATCTAGAAATTAATAAAACACGAGAAAAACTTGCACCTTTCATGGAAAGGAAAGAATATACAGTTGAGTCGGATAGACTAAAACTTTTAATGGACACTACTGAGAAAGAACATAAATTAAAAAAGAAGAAAAAATTCCCTAGAGACCTCAGGGATTATAAGGAGAATTCTGTCTTCAAATGGCAAATGGAAAAAGAGGTTTCTAATGCCATTACACCCACTCAAGTGAGATCTGGCAGTACAACATATGATGACAGGGAAGGGTTCAAGAGGACTTATGGTAAGCACAAAGCATGTCATCCATCTCATAATGCATATAGGGTTAATAATATACAAATGAGATCACACGGAAGACCTTTAAGAGATGGTAAGTATTCCGTGTCTACTAATAATAGATTTGAAGCCCTCTATGATCTTCAGGATGAAAATATAGGTACTAGGGATGTGAGATCTCATTCTGTACAACCCTATAATGGCTATGATCAAGGCAGAGGCGCACATAAATAGGGGAATCATAACCAGAAGGGATATTTCCCTGGACCCAACAATGGAGGATATAATAAGAACAATCATGGCGGGGCCAGAATGACTATGCAAGAAATTGAGGGAGACAGAATTCTTCTGGTTCCTTTTTTCACTCCACATTCCACTCTAAAAATAGGAGGGATAATCCTTCTGACTACCGTCCTTACGGGACCCTTCGGCCCCAGGAAAGTGAAAGGGGAGGTTACTATTCCCCTTACCAATATCAAGACAATAGGAGATCCCAACCTGGACCCCCCGCAGATGGTTATTGGGGGGGGGGATTAGGGCCAATATGGGAAAGGACCTCATAAGATGTACAACCATCAGGATAGACTCCTCTATGATCAAGAGGGAAATCGGGTTCTTTTTTAGGGTAAGGAACATCATTCGTATAAAGGAAAACAGGGGAGAAAGAGGTTAAACTCAATACATTTCAAACATATGTGGACATTCACAAGTTTACTAGCAGATGTCTTTAAAAAGATATGTTTTGACTAATCCCCCTATAGACAATAAATGTACAGTCAGTGAAATTAAATTTTAAAATTCTAAAGAATGTGTCAATATACAACCCCCCCCCCCCCCAAGATACTCATCCTCACATAAATATTTTCAAGGACATGGTTATAAAAGACCTTGAATCTCTACACATTAAGAATCCTAGGACCCAGCAGACTATTGATGCTGGAATCAAACAGCTTCTAGAGAGGAAGGTGTGGTAATCCTCCCGGCAGACAAGGGTGAAGGTGTGGTATTCTAGGTAAGGCTTATTGTATGGTAGAAGTGCGTAGGATTTTGGATGATAAGGAAACTTATCGTTTGTTGCCTAGGGACCCAGTGATAGGTTACAAACGAGATATTAAAAATATTATCAAAAGGGGTTATAAGGAGGGACATCATTATTAGAAGGGAGAGGGAATTTCTATGAACCTCTGCACCTCGTTTACCCATTTTACACGGTCTCCCTAGAATTCATAAAGATCAGCAACACCCCCCTGGAAGACCGATAGTTACTGGTATCGATTCTTTATGTTTGAGGGTGGGGGAATATATAGATTTTTTTCTCCAGCTGCTAGTACTTTCCAATCCTTCTTTCTTGAAGGATACTAAGTAAATCTTAAATGATGTTAAAAATATTATAGTTGATTCATCTACTTTTTTGGTCACAGCAGATGTGGCTTCCTTATATAGCAATATGGGACATGCCGACGGAATGGAAGCCGTCGATTACTATCTTAGTGAGTCTGAGGATATTACAGGTTGCCAAAAGAGGTTCAAATTAAAACTTTTAGACTTTGCTATGAATCATAATTATTTTTTGTTCGATAAGATGTTCTACCTCCAGATTAGAGGAGTTGCCATGGGAGCAAAATTTGATCCAAGTTTGGCAAACTTGTTTATGGCCAGATGGTAAGAAGACATCATATATTCGAGAGAATGGCCGGAATTGTGTTTTACAGTGATATATTGATGATGTCTTCCTTTTCTGGCAAGGCAGTGAGGAAGTGTTAAATAATTTCTTTGTCACCTTAACTAACAATAATCTCAATATAAAATTGACATATACGTACAACCGCAAAGGGAATCAATTTTGTGGACTTAACTCTCATTAACGATGGCATCAGGATTGTCACCAAATCTTTCTTTAAGTCCACTGATAGAAACAGCTACATTCCTATGGATAGCTGTCATCATCTCCTTTGGCTTCGAAACATCCCTATGATTTTTACTCCCAAGTGGAGATCCTCAGAGGTAGACTCCTTGCAAGAGAATATAATCAATCGTTGTTGGAGTTGGCTATTAAAGAGGCAGCTGACATGGATAGATCATCTTTACTAACTGCTGTGAAGGAAAGTAGGCACAACAAAGTCTGTCCCTTCATTACTAATTTTTCTGTTCAGTACAGAGAAATAGAGAACATTTTCAAGAAGAATTAGAGAGTCCTAAAAGATGACCCAGTTTTGGCAGGTTTTTTTACCTGACAAACTGTAAGTCATTTTTTCCACGGGCAAACCCTTTAAGAAACAAAATAGCCCCAACATAGTTGATCCGCCTAAAGAAATCAAATTTGTTTTCTGAATTAAAAATCTTTTTTCCCTGAAATAAATGTATGATATGCAGATGTGATGGTATTCGGAAAAAAGACATCGAATGCTTTCACTTCCCATTCTGCTGGAAAAAACTATAAGATTGATTTCTCTGATTACTTGCAACAGCAAATATGTGGTATATCTTTTGGAATGTCCTTGTAAGAAGCAGTATATAGGTAGAACCACTAGGAGGTTGAGGGATTGCTTAAGACAGGGGTGGGCAACTGTGGCCATCCACCTGTTGTAGAACTACAAGTTCCATGAGGCATTGCAAAACTGACAGTTACGAGCATTACTCCCAAAGGCAGAGGCATGATGGGATGTGTAGTTCACCAACAGCTGGAGGGCCACAGTTGCCCACCCCTGGCTTAAGAGAACATCCTTATAATAATGAGAAGGGAATTAAAGAACATTCCCTATCTAAACACTTTATGAACCATCATCATAAAAATTCTTCTGGTTTGAAATTTGTTGGAATAGATCTTTTTCGTCTCCATTTGAGGGGAAACAACAAACATAGGGTAGAATCCATGCTCGAGACAAAGTGGATTTATGAAATGCGCACTTTACTCCCCTTAGGACATAATATTGACATAGATATCAACTGTTTTATTGATTGGGGCAGCACAGTGGCTAAATGGTTAGCACTTTCGCCTGGCAGTACTAGCGTCATTGGTTCGAATCCCAACCACGGCACCACCTTCCTGGAGTTTGCATCTTCTCCCTGTGCCTGTGTGGGTTTCCTCTGGGTACTCTGGTTTTCTCCCACACTCCAAAGACACGCTGGTAGGTGATTTGGATCCTGTCTAAATTGGCCCTAGTATGTGTATGTATGAGTGTGAGTTAGGGACCTTAGATTGTACACCCCTTGAGGGTTTGGGACTGATGTGAATGTACAATATACATGTAAAGCACTGCGTAAGTTGATGGAGCTATATAAGTACCTGAAATAAATAAATGTTTATGTTTAGGAGACTGTATATGGATAAGTTC